TGTCCGGCGGATGATAAATATTACTAATTTTTTAAGTTATATATATTTTTATTCATAATATTTTTTACTAATTATTTTTAACTTTATTGTTTAGACTAAGGAGATGGAGAGACCACCATTGATCATTGAGTTGATTACGAGGACTCGGACAAAGAAATCGGGAGGTTTTGTCGACGAGCGCACAAAGAGAGCTTTTGTAAGTAATTTAATTTATGTTTTTTTTAAGTTAATAACAAAAATAGTGACGTTATTTTCACGTGGCAATCTATAAGTTGTGGCGTGATTATCATGTGGCAACTGATAAATTGCCACGTGACTGATTTTCATGTGGCAACTGATACATTGCCACGTGAAAATCACGTGGCAATTCATAAGTTGATTTGTGAAAATCACGTGACAAATTTTTAATATATTTGAATTTAGTATAATTTAATATATAAATGTTTTAATTTATTATTTAATGTATGTGTAGGATTATTATCAGACATTGCTTGCACGTTTTCTGGAACACGATCCTCAATATAGGCCAGCAGAAGGGGAGCCGCTTAATGGTGATGTTGATTTCTATATTTGGAATGAGGTTGTTAATGGAAAAGGGCCTAATGGTTGCTTTTTTGCGGGAGGAAATTTGGCCGCCGGCTTGAGAGTTGGTGATCGTAATCTGTTTCAACGACTTAGAGATGGAGAGGGAGGGTCACGTCAACCGAATCTGACACAGGATCAACTTGAAACAGTAAGACAATTGGCGACAAGTGAAGTGAGACGCGAAATGGAGGCCCAAATGACGATAATGAGGCAAGAGTAGGAGCAGCAGTTAGAGATCATGCGGAAGAGGCAATCTGATATGGAGGAGCAGATGAGACGGTTTATGCAAGGTGGTGGAAATCAAAATGTTCCTGATACACAGCCGGATGATGACGGAATTGATGATTTTGATCTTGATAATTATCCGGGTGAAGATGCCCCGTGAAAACATTTTATTTATTTCGTTTTTAAATTTGCATTTATGTAAGATATTTATTTTTATCATTTTAAATTATTAAATTATATAACATTTTATTATATGACTTTATTTTATAAAATTTTATTATTCGAATATATAATAAAATACTATTATTCTAATAATTTTAATATATAAATTTTATTATATAAATTTTATTATTTAAATTTTATTATATAAATTTTATTATATAAATTTTATTATTTAAATTTTATTATATAAATTTTATTATTTAAATTTTATTATATAAATTTTATTATTTAAATTTTATTACATAAATTAATTAATATAAAAAATAATTACTAAACAATTTTTTAAAAAATAAAAACGTCACTTGTAGCGACGTGGGAATCATGTCACAAATTAGTGAAATGATTCTCACGTCGCAACTAAAGCTGCTGTATGTCACATTGTATATTCCCTAAAACAAAGCATTTGCGACGTGAATACCACGTCACAACTTTGTGACATGGGAATCACGTCGCTACTGGCTTGCCACTGGCTCCCCAGCGACATATGTCTCCACGTCGCTATTTTTGTTTTGCCACATGATTTTGATGTTTGCCACGTGATTTTCACGTGGCAAATAAGCTTCTTTTTTGTAGTGTGTATGGAGTCTAGTAAGTAGACTCCCCCTGGTCAACTGCCTGTGAGAATAGGGATTAGACTCATGATTTCCGGAGGCAGTGGCGGAGCCAGAAAAATTATAATGCCTGGGCAAAATATTAAAGACCGCAAATTCACATTGTATATAATATATAAATAGTTATCAATCAAAATAAAAGAGACTCGTCATTTTTTCAATAAAAATATAGTTTAAAATAAAAGAGATAAATATAACCTTACAATAGCGGGTTAAATAAAATCCCGAGGCAAATGTACTTTTTGAGACTTCTTTGTGGTAAATGTTAGAATAATATCAATATCATCAAGTGACTTGAATATCTCCCGCTCGGTGTAACATACCATCAAGTCATTGAACCAAACATCGTTGATCTTATTGTGTAATTTAGACTTGATAATCTTCATTGCTTAAAAAGCTCTTTCAACAGATGTTGTTGACACCGCCAATATCAAAGCTAACTCAATAAATTTATAAACCGATGAAAATATCAAATGTTTCTCAGTTTGAACCAACTTCATAGCCAAACTTTGAACATCTTCACAAGTGTAAAATAAATAATTTATTCTCACTTAAAGAACATAAGTGTCAAGTTGATCCCTTATTGTTCCTCGGTCATCATCAGAAAAGTCTGCATGATAAATATCAGCAAGACGAGCAAGCTTATCAACATTAAACTTGGAGAAAGAGTTATTGGGGTCAAGACATGAGAAGTAATTAAGGATAATGTTACTTCCTTCACTAAAGTGATGATCAATATCCACACATGTTTTGTCAATAGCAACATAAGAAATCTATGCACGGTAATGATGAAGATTAGTGATATTCCTCCCTTATATCCTTGAACGACCCTGAATCGATATTTCGTCATCTACATTTGGAACCAGAATACCTTTAGCAACATAAAAATCTTGGACATCGGAAAATAAATTATCCCAACCACTCTCTCTCGTTGTGGCCAACCAAGCTTTGACATCATCAACTAATTCCATGGAAATTCATGTGCACAACACGTTGCAAGCTCCTTTTGAATGTCACCAGAAGTCATTGTGCAATTTTTTCCACCACGGTCAAAAGCATCACTCACTTGTTCATTCTGAAATTTACCCAATCTACCATCTCTCTAAAATTACCCTTACTTAGAGAAGTAGATGATTCATCATGGCCACATAAATTCGTGCCTTGTGCTATGAGATATCTTGAACAATCTACAGAACAAGTCAAACAAATCTTATACAATTCTTCTGAATCCTTGGTTTCTTTAGCAAACGTACTTGTCACACTTTTTCTTTGATTATTATAATCATTGTAGTGCTTGACACATGACTTGTGCAAACTATTATGACTACCATTGTGACCTTTCAAGCCTTGATATGCATGCTTCCAATCTCTATATCCACTTTTAGTGAAGACTTCAAAACCAAAGTGATCGGCCCTCCCGGGTTGCTTAAAGAGAAAGCAATGAAAAAATAAGCTGCATTCTTCATCTCACTATATTCTAACCATGTATAATTCTTATACCATAATTTATTAAATAATCTTTTAATACTCCCAAATAGAGTACGAGGAAAGCTTGGCAAATCTGGTTGCATTGGACCCTTCAATATATATATATATATATATATATATATATATATATATATATATATATATATATATATATATATATATATATATATATATATATATATATATATATATATATATATATATATATATATATATATATATATATATATATATATATATATATATATATATATATATATATATATATATATATATATATATATATATATATATATATATATATATATATATATATATATATCCTCCTCACTTGGTCTTGGATATCTGGAGCATACTCATTAATTTATTTCCTACGACCTGGATCACGCACAATCTCATTTGAATTAAACTCATTAACCCCATTAGACAGTGGTTCTAATTCGACTTCTGGTTGCACAACATTCATATTCTCAATATTTTCTCTAGCAGTCAAAAATCTCCTCATCTCTGAACAAAAGATAAAATAATTACAAAATTGTAGTTTCAAAATTTAAAATAATAATAATCAAATAAAACAAATAAGAATAAACAATGTTCTTCAAACAAATAAAACAAAATTTAAAACTCTAATAAATAAATTAGTATTTGTAATTGTACATGGTTAATCAAACAAGCTAAACTCTAATAAATAAATAAATAAATTAGTACATGGTTAATCAAACAACCTAAACTCTAATCAATAAATTAGAATCAAACATGGAATTAAACAAGTATAATATATAGACTTATTACTACAATCCTTTCTTTCTTTAGGTTTTTTCAATTCTAGGTTCCACTATTTTTTCTTTTTCTTTTAATTTTATTTATTTAAAAAAAATATGAATACTAAAAAAATTTTGGGCTGGGCCGAGCCTGGACATTTGCCCAAGCTGGCCGCATGGTAGAACCGCCCATGTCCGGAGGACAGTTGAGATGACTGTGACATGGAGATGTGGGTCACGTTCCCCAACGGTCCCTAACTTGGGCTGCTTGCTTTTGAGCTTTATACAAAAATGTTGGATTGAGTCTCCCAACCAGAAGAAAAGTGCAGACCCAGTCTAAATTAATAAATATTTTATTAATATAAATCTTATCTTCTTGAGATGAAATAGTGGTATTTGAGATGTAGTTTAAAAGAAGAAGAAAAAAAACAAATTTTTTTTATTTTCAAATAAAGATGAAGTAGTAATAATTACTAAAAATTCATTTACATAATCGTGAATACTAAAGATTCGAACTCTGATAAATAAAATTTAGTCTAACAATATTGATTTCTGCATTATTATCTCGATGGAATGAGTGTTGTTTCACCTTACTATTTTCATTGTTTTTTTTCTTCTTTTTACTTTTATGCATAGACAGCTATTTACCATTTGAAGTGATGATCCGCACTTATAGATACTTATACTCGTAGAAAAAATGCTACTAGTATATACATATTTTGCAAAATGACTAACCATTTTCTTACTATCTTTGTTTTTTTAATTCAAAGTTATTTTTTTTCAATATATACTAACAAAAATATATTTTAATTAAATCTTGCATTTTTAGAGTTCGAGAATGCTCCATATATCTATCCATTAATTTAAAATTTATTTATTTCTTTATGTTTACATTGTATTCACTTTCACAAATCCATATTGCAGAGAACACAAACACTTTTTTCCATCTTTATAATAAAACATTAGCATGCAAAAAAAAGTAGAAAAAGATCATTATACATTTCATCTTGCAGCATGAAATCTAAGACAGAAAAAACATAGAAGATAAATAGCAACAAAATGTTATAGTAAGAAAATGAACCATGTCTACAATACATAATAATCTTCATTATGCACCTTGCCTAAACTTTCCTTGAGGAGGAGGAGGACCAAGCTTTATTTCAAAACTCTTCATATCATGATGACCATGAGAAACTGGCTTCTGAACTCTAACCCCTCCTCCATGTCCATTATTCACAGGCTTAGAAGCTGCAATTTTCTTGTCAAATCCAAATTCAATATCAACTTCTTTTGGACGTGAGTGTTGGTTCTGCTTCTGCTGCTGCTGTTTCTGTGGTTTATCATGTTTCTGGCCGTGGCTTTTGCTATTGCCGCTGCCGCGGCGGCTGCAAAACCTTCCAAGACAACAAGCAACAGCAGAGATTATTATTATGATGGCTAAGACAACAAATACTGACCCAAATGATCCATTTGATGAATGGTGGTCAGGTTCAGGTGGTGATTGGTATGTATAAGCGGTTGGATAAACCTGAACCGGTTGTTGCTGTTGTTGTTGCTGCATTGGTTGTTCTTGTAAAGACATGTTAAGAAAACTTTTTTTTGTGGGGAATGAGGAGAATTGTTTGGTATTTGAGGATGAGGTTGTTGTTCTTTGAGTGTAGACTAAGGTGAATTTAGAGTAACTCAATTACTCAAGTATATTTTGGTGTGAGGAGAGTAAATTGGAGATGAAATAAATAGGAATATTTTTTTGAATTTAAAAAGGGGGGAGAGGGGAACTTTTGCTTTAATAAAGAAGAAAATTAAAGATATTCTTTGAGCTCTTTACTCATTGATGAGTAATGTGATTGCTTTGTAATGAGAGAAAGTGAAATCTTGGAGCATCAAGGGACATAGCACTCTCATGGCCCAATGAAAGTGCAGCTTTTGTTTCCTTGGTGTGTTCCCATTGATAATGATTTGAATGAGATGTTACACACTACATACAGAATAAGGGTCATGTTATACGCAACGGTTTTAAAATGAAAAACTAAAGTATTGTAATAAAAATACAAAAATGTAGTACAACTAAAACTTGTTAGGAGACATCCGGTCAAGGATTTTATTGAAAACAGTGAAAGGAAAACGCCAACCAGAGGTAGTAGGTTATTAACATTGGGATCTGTAAAAAGTAATAAGCACTAACACAATTCCAAGGACAACCTTATCAGGTTAATGGGGCCACCCTGTCTTTATTCCATATGAAAAATGGAATCTACTTGAGAGTGTTGAGTTGGTATTGATACTATTAGTCATCATACATCTTTCAGTAATATATTAATGTCACACTTATGATCTGATTTTTAACGATATTTACAATGAGAAAAACTATAATATAAGATTATGTGAAAAAAGCGTGGGTTGTGATTCATCCAGCGATGCTAATGTCTGGCATAATGGGATAGTTCTTTCAAAAGAATTGTGAAAGTTTTTTCACACATATGACAAGGATAAATTGTGTCTAGAGGACTTAAAGAATTCAACTCAAACTCTTTTACTGATCGAGAATCATGCTGCAAATTCTCTCAAAACCGTATTGATTTTATAAAGCTAATATAATTTTCTTACAAGGGATAAAGCCCAACGTAACAAAGAAATTACAACGGAGAAATTCAGTCAAATAAGCAGCGGCGTGGCATTAAGATTCAAACAAAAGCATTGTTAACAGGAGCAGCATATTTGTCTGCAAAAGATTTTCTTACTTGCTTGTCTTTGTGAGAGCAACAAGTCAGAAATTTCAGTTTGTAATATTTGCTAACCACTCTCGTTATGGACCCAATGCTTCGACTCTTTTTCTACAATAGAATATTGTTGCATTTTTATTTTAAACGATTAAGTTTTTTAAATAAATTATCTAAATAACTATTATTTCAAATAAAATATTAAATTAATCATCAGATTAAAGAGGAGGCGTCATCAAATTACTAATAAGGGTGATTCTTTAGTTCAGTTTTTTTTTTATTTGAAACAGGGTTAATTTGATATTTTATTTGAAATGATGTTTATTTTGATAATTTTTTTTCAAAAATTTAATTTAAAAAAAATCAAATATTATTTCTATTTATTTTGAAAATTCGTATTTGAAAAATCTATTAATTTGGAGATCAATCACACCCTTTAGTACAAAATCCTATCAAATTGTGTGTTTATTATTTTCTCTAATTTTTATTATAAGAAAAATTATATTTTTATAAATTTATTGAATAATTAATATATTTAATTTCTTTAATATTTCAAATAAATTGATTATTCAATAAAATTAAAAAAAATTATACATTAAACCAAAAATCAGAGAAATATTCTTAATTTTGTTCGAAAAATTATCTTGTGCTCTGTTTCTTTCTTTTATCATTTTTTTCTGGAAAATATTAGTAACAAATGTCTTTAACCATTGTTTAAGTTGAAAGAATATATTACTTATCTATAAAAATATGTAATTATTATTTCTAAGAAATGTTTGAGTTTAATTTTGAAGAAAAAAATTCTCTGATTTTTTTTTCCAACAGTGTATTTATGATTTCTTTTTATTATACCACAAAAAGAAAGGACAGTTTTTTAAGTGAAGATATTTCCCATCCATCCTGCTTCTCAAATTGTCATCTCACCATCACCATCATATTTTTCTAAAAATCTCAAAAATATTCTTTTCAGTTTTTTCGATTTTTCCACTTTACCTTTCTTTTCCAGTTTTCCGAAATAGAAACATTTATGTGATTTATGACATATAATTTACATGTTGTAAAGACAAAATTTAATTTAAATTTTAAATTAAATAATATTTGATCGGGTGTTTGGGAGTTAAATGAGCTAGTTAATGAGTCTTCTACAAAAACGGCAGGATAAACTAAGGGGAGTTTTCTTTGCACCCTTAACTCTTATTCCACGTTACCAAAAAAAATTTAGAATGTTAAAATATATCTTCGAACATATATTTTTCATACATGTTTTAGCGAAATTGTTGAAAAATCCTTGTTCTATTTAAATTTGATTTGAAAATGCATTTCCGTGTGCACAAAAAAATTATTCTAAAATGCATCTCCGCAACTCCTCTTAGTTCATTAGTCTGTGAACTTTTCAAGTGCTCATTATGGGTTCAAGCAGACAAGTTCTTGGTATTTATGTTGACCAGAAAATGGATCGAGGTAAATCCTAAAAAGTGTATGTGATCATAGACATGAAGAGCCCCTCTAACATTAATGGAGTTCAACAGTTAAGAGCGCGCATGGTTGCCCAATCTCATTTTCTTTCAAGTGGAGGTAACAAAGCATTCCACTTCTTCGTCACTCTAAAAAATAAGGAGAAGTCTGAATGGACAAATAAATATGAACATGCGTTTGTAGCATTGGAAAAAAATGGCGACACGACCTGCACTGACACTCCTGGAAGCAGACATACCCATATATTTATATTAGTTACCAACAAGGCGATAAGCTCCATACTCGTCCAGGAGAAAAAAATAAGGTTAAACAACTGGCATATTTCGTGTTCAAGTTATTCAATGGAATTAAGGCAAGGTATCAAAAAATTGAGAGACTAGTGTTGACGATATTGATTATTGTAAGAAAACTCAAATCATACTTCCAAGGGCATCGTGTATTCGTTAAAACCAACTATCTAATCTACCAAATCCTTATAAATATGGATATATTAAGTAGAATGGTACCCTGGTCAAATGAGTTATCCAAGTACGGTATTCATTTCATGCCTAGAGGAAGTATAAAATCTCAAGTGTTGGAACACTTCTTGGAAAAATTCATTTCACCCATGGATGAGGAGGTCCCCCACATGTGGATACAATTAGTGGATGGCGCCTCAAATCTTAAGGGGATTGGAACCACAATAATTCTAGAAGGTCCAGATAACCTTCTCATAGAGAAATCCCTGAGATTCGAGTTCAAAACCATCAACAAATCAAGCTTAGTATGAAGCCATCGTCGTTAGAATGAACCTATCCATAAAGATGGGCACTTCAAGTCTTGAAGATAGGAGTGACTCATAGTTGATCGCAAATCAAGTCGTCAAGGAATATTAGGCGTAGGAGACCTAGCTGATCAAATATATGATAAAGGTAGGAGAATGATCTAATCCTTTCAATTTCTTCAAAGTAATATATGTACCCAAGGAGCAAAACCCTCGAGAAAATATCCTCTCAAAGCTTACTAGAACCAAGAAGCCCTTATAGGGGAGGAAAAGACCGCCTTGGTCCTCGCAGAGGTCCACAAAGTAACATGCAACAGTCACATTGATGGGCAAGCTCTCGCGCACAAGCTGTTGAGGGTGGACAGTTATTGGCCTACCCTATTAAAATATAATGAGGAAAAATAGACATGTGCCAAATAGTGTGACAAGTGCCAGAAAAATTCCAATCTACATCACGCGCCAACTGATACTTTTCATTCTATCATATCGACATATCCATTTTACTAGTGGGGCATGAACAAATTTGGCCCTTTCTCGTTGGCGACAAGGAAATTGAAGTTTCTAATCGTCAAGGTAGATCACTTTACAACATGGATTGAGGCTTAGTATTAATACTATTGATACTGGATTTCCTTCCTGGCTTGGTAACCCCCAGATTAGGTGAGTTGCACCAAACTGAGTTAACAATTTTGTGTGTTCTTTTACCTTTTGAACTTTTAAATTCTGCATAATTTTATTTTTGTAAAAGTTTTTGTTAGTCAACAGATATTGTAACATCTGACTTGACATTGTGATTGTGTGTTGAGACATTATTCTTGACATTTATATTGTGTGTGCCAAAATTTCAATTGGCATCAGAGCGGACACCTTGTTCTGTTTATTGGGTGAGCTCCAGAGAAAATATTTTTCTGGCACTATGGACAAGAAAGGAGAACATTGCGACATATCACCTATGTTGAATGGTGGAAATCATGTCTTTTAGAAGGATAGGATGATAGTTTTGTTGAAAGCCATGGACAGAAAATCTTGGAAGGTTATGATGAAAGGATGGAATCATCCTATCATGAAGGACAAAGATGTGAATGAGTCTTTGAATCCAAAGTAAGACTGGTCCAAAGAGGAAAATGAGTTAGCTTCTGCAAACTCCAAGGTCTTTAATGCCCTAATTTATGGAGTTGATAAGAATTATCTCAAGAAGGTAGATACATGCACTAGTGCTAAATATTCCTGGGAAATTCTCAGGACAACTTATGAAGGTGATGAATCCTCTGAGGAAGAATATGCCAAAGCTATAACTTCCTTAATAGGAAGGTACGGCTCTATGGTAGAAGAAAGATATTATGTTGAACTATTGGTGTCCTACAAATGTCTATACAAAAAGGTTGAGGAAGTCTATCAAATAGGGGTAAAGCGAAGAATGATGATAGCCAAACTTCAAACTGAAAAGGAGGAATACATATATGATATATCTCAACTTCAAAGTAAAGTAACCTTACTAATATCAAAAATGGATAACTTAATCGAATGTGTTAGGTTGTTGAATAATCAATCTGATGTGTTGGATGAAGTTCTTCAAGATGACGAAGAAGGTAGAAGACGTACTGGCATAGGGTTTGACTATCA